GGCAGATTGAAAAGTGAAGATAACAGGGGTATCCATGACAGAAGGTCTTGGGTGGAATCCATCATTTCTCTGTGAAAGCAAATTCTGTGAAACATGAATGGATGTATACTACCTATATGTTACATTGTTATTTTAAATAAAGAATACATTAGTGTCTCTGTGGTGGTTTTGTATTAGGGCTATATATTGGTTATTTAAATTGTGGATCAGATTTCCAGGTAATCCATGCAGATAAAAAAAATGTGACAATAGGTGTATTTGCTTTCTGTTGCTTTTGTAACAAATTTAGTACAAATTTAATAGCTTAAAACAACACAGTTTTGTTATCTTACAGTTTGGGAGATCAAAAGTCCCAGTTGGGTATTACCAGGCTAAAACCAAAATATTAACAGGGCTGCCATCCTCCTGAATGCTCTGAGCACAAAATCTGCATATCTTTTTTAACTTCCAGAAGCTGCCCACATGCCTTGGCTCTTGGCCTCACCTCTTTATCTTCAAGATCAGAAATGTTGGCTTGAGTCCTTACTCTGCCATATCTGTTTCTCCCTCCTTGTTTCCTCTGCTGCTTTTAATAGACAATGTGATTAGACCAGGCCCACACAGGTAGTCCAGGATATCACCCTGTTTTAAGGTTAGCAACCTTAATTCTAATTTGTCCTGTAACATAATGTACTTAAAGTTTCTAAGGATTGGGTTGTGGCATTCTTCCCACTACCACCACCAGCAAAACAGTGATTCGGGTCTCAGATTGATTTCAGGTCTCAGATTGATGAGGAACCAAAGTTTGGGTCACTATATCAGGTAGGAACAAAAAGCTTCTAAGGTTTTTACTGAAGGTTGAGGAAAAATAATTGCTAATTGAAGAACTCAGATCCTGAGGCCAATAAACAAAGACTATAGTTACTTTGCATATTTCTGTTTATTATATGCATGCATTTACTATTATATAGTCATTTTTTACTACCCTAATTCCCGTTTTTAATTTTATTCACAAATTTATTGGAGGTTAACTTTACTTGTATTTAAGTAACAGCATATTCAGTGGAAGCCTGGCTGAATTCAAAGATTACATACCATGGCCCATGATGACTGGAAAGACTTAAGAATCTGAACCATCTTGTACTGGGGAAGAGAACCTGACTTAGAAGAAGGTTTGGTGTGTGTGGTTTTGCTGCAAATGAGATATGTGACCGAGGTGAATGTGGAAGCTGAGGAGCCAAGGGAGTAGCCTATGCCACTTAGCAGTACATTGCCTGTCAGCTTCACATTTGCCCTTCAACACATTCTCAGTGATGATGGACAGAATGTGTTTAAGAATTTCTTTTCCCTTACAGTAAACCTGTTGAACCTACTTGGTAGAGGACATCTTAGTTACATTACAAGTGGAAGGGACCTTCTTGTTTCCACTTTACAACGAGTTAGCAAAACAGGTATGAAAATACCTGGTGATACGTTGTCCCCGGCTATAAACCCAGAGTGTTTGGTTTCTGATGTCCTCACAACACAATGCTGACCTAGTGATCAGTTCCTCGCTGCTTTCTCAATGTGGACAGCATATACTCATGGTCCCCGTCGTGCAGTGACAGCATTAATTCCTACATTCCTCTGCCTTTCCCAGGTTGTTACTCGGTGCCCTCCTAGTACCCAGGCCTCCTGCCATATCAGCACTCTTAGTCCCTCTGCTTGACCTCATTCCTGACCATTGGCTATTGCTGTGCCTGTGTCTTGGAGGATTGCCACTGGGAACCCAACCCCCTCTACGTGCCCACAACTCCATACACTGCCTGAGGCCTGCCTGTATCCTGACTGCATGCCACCTGCCTTCCATAGTGGCCCTCTGTTTGCTCAGTGATCACAGACCGTGTTGGCTTAGGTACATTAGCAAACTTCCCTGCCATCAATAGGGTGCAGCTATATCCTCAACAAGGTCTGAACCTTAGTTCTAGGGATAGGGCCTTTATAAACGTGTGCTTGTGTCTGTGTCCTCCGCCCTAGGATATAATATAGGTTTTGCACCCACCCTATAGATAATCTTATCATAGCTTACTACTTGATTATTAAACTTCTGTTTAAATAATTTAAATCTCTATTTTCTGATTGGACCCATATCAAGAAAGAGGTTGAGCATGTGAACCACTAATATTCCAAATTAAATCCAGAGAATTTAATGTGGGTTATTTTGTTTGTTTTGGTTTTGTTAAGATTAAATTTTGATGCAAAGTATTGCAAAGAATATTGATACTGGATTCTGAATTGTAATACCACACTTCATTTGGTTATATAACCTCTGGCGAAGGATAACTGCGGTAACAAGAAATCACCCCTTACTATGATTTATCTGCTATAGGGACAACATTAGGGACTGTGAGTGTGTTTATTGGGTGATTTCAGTTCGGTCAGGTTCACATGTCAGTAACAGGGACCTTGGGCATTACCCTCTAGTGTCTACATTTGTCTACTATCAACCTGGTTATACTGCTCTATAGGTTGACCCACTCCATAAAAATAGTTCAAGAGGAACCCTGAAACTTTTTTTCTGTAACAAAGAATGTTTTTTTTTTTTTTTTTCTCCTAACAGATATCTAAAAGTTCCAGACTTGGGGCTGGGGATTTAGCTCAGTGGCAAAAGCGCCTGCCTGGCAAGCGCAAGGTCGTGAGTTCGGTTCCCAGTACCGGAGGGGGAAAAAAAAAAAAAAAAAGTTCCAGACTTGAAGTTACCAGTATACTTAGGCACAGCTGACTCAGGGCTTGGAATAAATTAGCAAACACACGTGATACTTTCTGGCTTTTCTGCTAGAAATACATGCAGTTAACTCTTTCAAACTTAATGTATTGTATCAGGGAGGGTTCACCAAATAAATGCATCCCGCAGGCTATGTGTATATACATGTATATGTATATGTATATGTATATGTATATGTATGAGTTGACGTTGGTGTGATGATTAATTTCGTGTCAGTTTGGCTGGGCTAAGGGGTCCCCAGATTACTGGTAAAGCATTATATCTGATGTGTCTGTGAGGGTGTTTCCAGAAGATACACAGTACACTAAACAAAGAAAATCGTAATTGGTGAGCATCACCCAATTCCCTGAGGCCCCGAATAAATCAAAACGGCAGAGGAAGGGCAAATTTGCTCTGCCTGAGCAGAGGTATTCACTTGTTTCCAGGCGTCAGTGCTCCTGGTTCTTGCACTTCAGACTCAGACCAGGACTTACTCCACTTACTCCCCTGGTTCACAGGCCTTTGTGTTTGCACTGGAAGAACATCATCAGCTTTCCTGGGCCTTTAACTTGCAGATTGAAGATCCTGAGACTTTTCAACCTCCATAATCACAGATGCCAATTCCCTATGATAAATATTTCTGTCTCTGCCTACCTACCTATCTATCCTATGGGTTTGGTTTCTCTGGAGAGCCCTACCTAATAGAGCTGGCAGGTCTGGGTTGCTGTATATAGGGCATTCTGGAGGCCTGGAAACTCACACAAGTTGGTGCTGCAATCTTGAGTCTGCAAATGCACAAGGCAAACTGGCAGACTGGAGACTGGCAGTTTTGAGGCAGGATTTCTTTTACAGGAAACTCAAGCTTTGTTCTTAAGGCCTTCAACTGATTGGATACTGCCTACCCACGTTATCAAGAGTGACGTCCTTTAGCCAGGCATAGTGTAGTACATACCTGTAATCCCAGCACTTGGGGAGGCTGAGGTAGGAAGGTCTCTGCAAGTTCTGGGCCAGCCAAAGCCACATAGAGAGGCCCTGTACAAAATTAAAATTACCACATCTACAGAATATCTGCACAGCACCACCTAGGTTACTATTTGATTAAATTACTGGGCATATAGTCTATAGCCACATTGGCAGTTAACTAACCATATGTTTTGTAACTCAGCAAAGCATATAGAAAAAAGCCCATTTTCAAACACTGCATTTTGTGTTGTAATCCTAAATCATTATAGAATAAGGAATATATTCCCAGGAACAAAGTTTCACTGGAAAGTATTAAAAGACACAAGCCTAATTCATGGGGAAACTCTTCTTCAGGCTATTCAGTGAAGCTCAACCAGCTATTCAGTTTGATTATTGCAAGATCTGTCAGTAATTTCTACAAGTATTGTGGCATAAACATACTGCATAAAAATAGCAATTTTCCAAGAATGTATTTTCATTAGACGCACACAACCCTTCTATTTGCCTTTTAATTCTACTGAGTCATGAGTCCCTGTTGCTTCTCTAAAGTATCTCTGCACTTCTGTCTGCCACGCTCACATCTGTAGCATTCACAGCCAAGGTTCTCAGTGGGAACACATACTCCATGCCTTTTCTGCACATCACGAGAGTTCCTGCTTCTGACATTCAAGTTAGATATAAATGGATAAGGGGTTTGACAGATGGAGAGTATTAATGGTTTGTATCTAGTCCCCCAAGAGCCTCATGTGCTTATAGGCAGGGCTTTTGGAAGGTGGTTGGTTTATGGGGGCTTACAGTGGACTTGCTGTTAGGGGTTGCAGACTGGTTGGGAGAGGCGGGTCACTGGGGGCGGGCGTGGAAGGGTTCATCTCCCTCCTTGGACTCTGCTTCCCACCACCATGCTGTGAGTAGTTCTGCTCAGCTCTCCTCCACCATGACCCTCTGCCATGCCACCCTGCCTTGGAGCCAGCCAGCCATGTAGGGATTGAAATCTCTACAAATTGTGAGCCAAAATAAGCCTCTCTTCCTTCAATTTGTGGGTAATGGGTGTTTCATCACAGCAACAAGGGAACTAAGAGAGAAATAACGGTTGCTTTTGTGTTGTTATTTTAGAGACACTGGGAATGGTACACATCAAGACTGTAGATGGGGTTCAGCAACCTATGGTTTGTGGACAAAATTTGGCCAGCTATCTATTTTTATAAATAAAGCTTCACTGGAACGGTGTCATGTCAATTCATTTACATATTACCTAGGTACAACAGCAGAGGTAAGTGATTGTTTTGTTGGTTTTTTTTTGGTTTTTCTCCGGTACCGGGAACCGAACTCACGACCTTGCGCTTGCCAGGCAGGCGCTTTTGCCGCTGAGCTAAATCCCCAGCCCCAGAGGTAAGTGATTGTGAAGAAGCCCAGAAAGCCTTAAATATTTACTCTCTGGGCCTTTAATGAAAAAGCTTGCTATCCCCCACACCTTTTTTCCCTGTGCTTTGGATTGAATCCAAGGATTTTGTGCTGAGCTATCTCCCTAGCTCTTTACACTGTTTTGTTTTTAAATTTGAGACTTGAGTCTTGCTAAGCTGCCCAGGCTGGGCTTGCAGTTGTGATGCTCCTGCCTCAGCCTTTCAGAATGCTGGGATTTCAAGAGTGTGCCAGCTCACTTAACCCCTATAGACTATCTCTCTGCTAGTGTTTGAAATTCTTCAGTAGGAAGACATCATTTGAGAATGTTCATGTAGATGAAAAGCCATGAATAAATATAGTCCAATACCCCAGTGTGCAGGAGGGGTACTTCTTTTTCTGCCTCAAATTAAGCCTGCAGTAGGCAGGAGCAGAGAGAAAGGTATTTGTGGGCATTTAGAGGTGCTGTGGGGTACTGTATGAGTAAGGGAGGACATGACTTTGAGAACTATTTATCCATACAGGATACATGCAGAGATTAGTGAACATGGGATAACAGAATTACACTGACTGCATTCCTTGCAACATCAGGCAAGGATAAGCCCAAATGTGGACAAATGAAATGAGAAGCAATGTCCTGAGAATTTGAACAAATACAAAATATTCTAGTTGAATGCAGTTAACTGCATCAAGGATTAATTGAACACTTCATCTCTACTAGCAGAGAAGAGGTGGACCATCTAGCTTAGAATAGAAAACTTGATCCATTTCTGTCAGTGGAGCTACCAATCTTGGAATAATAGCATCAACTTTAACTCCACTTTCCCGTTAGCCACCATGCCAATCAATCATCTGTCTCTTCTTTTTCATTCATTCCTAGTGTTACCACCATAACCCAGACTGTAATCAATCAGCAGTCAACTAATAATCCTTTGAGTCTATGATGTATCAACTAATAATCCTTTGACTCTATGATGTATATGTGAAGATATAATTGATGACACCATATCAAACCAAAGAGATGAACAGATTGCAGGGAATGAATTTCCAGAGAACGGAGATTGCTGTGCCTGGGTTGATTCAAGAAAGCTTTAAAAACACCTAAGTGGGCTCAGCCTTGAAAGTTGCACAAATATGCAGAAAAGGGGGCATCTTCAGTGAAGGCGTAGACCTGGAAATGACATAAAGTGTGGAATGCCTCATTCTTCCAACTACAGAGGCACTAAAGCCAGTCTTAAAACCCTTTCCCCTGAAGCTGAAGTGGGCCACCAAGAACAGTGATGAAACTCCTGCCCAAGCTATGTGATCACTAAAGACCTGGCTGAGCCGATTTAGATCGCTTACATTCACCAAATGTGGGAGAATGTGCTGATTAATGATTCATTATATACAGGGACGCTGTTCCATAGATGACAGATAACAATGGTGAGGGAGAGAAGGGTGCAAGTGAACCCACCTGCACCCTACAAAATGAAACAAAGCCAATGTGAAGAAATAAAAGTGGCATAAATTTCCACATTGAGACCATGGTAAGAAAGTTTCCAATTCACTCATAACTTTGTGAAATTAGTAGGAAATGAATATAATGCTATTTGCTTCTTGTTTGTTCAAGTCTATACCAACATCAAACAAACCATGAAATCTCCTGCAAAACAAATATGAAAGCTAAACCTTGGAAAACATCTCCTTTGCTCTATCTTTGCTCAGTCTAAAAAGCATATGCTCATGATACCTCTGCACTTCCTACCTAGATAAGATGTATACTTCCTCACCTACCTCAGCGTGGTTATCTTCATGGCTGGTGACCAGCATGTGTGAGCACAGATACACTGACACCTTTGGGAACTCTCAGTATACCATATTCCTATTCTCATGTCCTGTGAGCTCTGCCATTCATATAATAGTCTCAGTAAGTATGACAACAGGTTCTCTCATGAGCAAAGATGCAATGAGGTCATTTGAAATGTTCAAACATCATGTTCTATGCTGATTATTTTTTCACATCAGTGCTGGTTCCTACTCACCATCCTTCGCCAGAAGAGCCGACACTGTGTTTGAGAAGCTGCTCAGTGTATCATGCTCCTGATGAACATTTAACAGGAAAAATCTGGAAGTTGATCAGTGTTGCCCAGGACAGAGGTGACCCATATTGGTCAACACTGACCACCATTGGTGGCCCAATGTTTAATTACAGCTAGGAGGGCAATGTATTGACATAAGAAATACCCAGCAAAAAACCTCCTACTTCCAGATCCCCACGGTAGGGAGAATAGTTCACCAGACCCTCCTCAGAGTAACAGCATCTTGCAGAGCGCTGACATTTAGCTGCCCTGTGAACCCTCACCAGGTGCTGAGGCCATGTGCCAGACTCCAGCAAGGTAGAGCTATCCATTGCTGTTTGCTGAGACTAGCGAATTTCCAATAAGGATGGGAACAGAATGCACACGAGTACATAATTCTTCATATGGATTCTTTTTGTTTGTTTGTTTCTGTTTTTTTCCTGTGTGACTTAAAGCCATATATAAACTGGAGTTTGGTAAGCAAAGGGTGGTGATTTTGGTGGTGCAGCTACCCGTAAACTGGCCAATGCAAGTCATTCTTTGGTCTGTTAGTGCTGTCCCAATTTGAACACAGGTGCTTCTTTTATGTTTTCCCAGGAAATTTACAGAACACTCATCTACCATCCAACCAGGATAAATGCACTCATGCAGCCCTCCAAAGGCATGTTCTTTGAATGAGTGAGACCTATCTCAATCTAAACAAACATATGTTGAATGTGGTCAAAAAGAATAATAACCCCCTCAAAGATGTCCACACTCTCTTCTTCAAAATTTGAATATGTTAGGTTGAATGGCGAGGGGAAATTGAGGTTGCAGGTGGAATTAAGGTTGCTAGCCACCCACTTTAAAAGGAGAGATTATCCCGTATAATCTTAATGAACCCAATGTACAGTAATTACAAAGATTCTTAAGATAGAAAGCAAAAGATTCGAAGAGATGAAATAATCCTCTGACACTGCTGGGTTTGCATAAGGAGCAATGGGGACATGAGCCAAGGAATATAGGTGACCTCTAGAAGCGGGAAACAGGAAGGAAATGGACCCTCCTAGCATCCCCAAGAGGAACAGTAAGGAAACTGATGCTTTGATTTTAGTGAAGAGCCATTTTGGACTTACAACCTCCAGAATTATGAGAATTCTCCTAGGTTCCAGATGACGATGTTGAAGTTTACCTGAGCCCTGTGTCAA